TAGGTAAAAGATTTTGAATGAACGAATTTCACTAAGATTAACGGTGTCACAGTTTCTTCTTAGCTATAAAAAGCATTTGGTGGCTAAAAGGTCCCCTGTTATATAACAACAACCATTAATTTTACGACTTAACTAATCATGTATTGAACAAATCCTTTAAAACCAAGTAATTGCAAATTCTCTCCAATCTAAAGCAACCTTCGACCGTAATTTATTAAGTAAAGAAGGAATTATTTGTAAACGCAGATGCTTCTGACAATGTGTCAAAAATCTCCTCGATTTCACATTAGGACATGGGTTTGACTTGCCTTCGCATTGATCCACCGAGCGTTCCAAAGCTGGGAATGCACACATGCGTACGTCTTCCAGCATCTAGTGCGTTTATTGGCTATTTCGTCGCGCCAACTATAAATATGGCTACTTTGGGCTTAGCAAATCATGCACGCCGCACGCCCAGCGAGAATGTTTTGTACAGCATTCGTTACAGAGCTAGGTAATGGGTCATTCACTTAAGGTCAGCATGCTTCACATGACAACGTCTGAATGACTGTGCGTGCATTCACTAGTTTAGCAGACGAATTGCTTGATTCCGTGCCTCAACAAATGGCCTGCCACACTGCTGGGAATTCTTAATTTTGACCGACTCATACTGCCGAATATACATTTAATAACACTTGTTTACATAAACCAACCATTTTCGGCCAAACAACACCGAGATTTAGAAAAACACGACAACTCTGGAGTTAGTAAACACGGTGTCCGCCTATGCCTTCATTATTATCTTGAAAGCATGGAGGATGGAACAAGGAGGTGGCTGCAGTGGACGACTTTGTAGCAATGACCGATTGAGCTGGCATCGCACTGCGTAACATACATTTGGAAAACCCAAGCTTGAATAACTGCTGAAATTACTTCGTGCGTGGTCTTTGGAAGTCTGCGTGGAATGTGTGTACGTGTGATAGTTACGTTAGTGAACTGGTTATAACAGTGGCAACCTATAAGGGTGCAGTGGAGTTAGGGAGTTGAGAGGACAAAAGATTGAACAAACCTCATCAGACGGATCGTAGTATTGCGCCAAGTAGGGATGCGCGAGTGCGTCGTCAACGTTTATTCGGCGAGACGGGAGGAAACAAAGCAAGCGATCGAGCAAGTCCAGTCCTGAAGGTCACAATTAGGCTTAATCTCGACCTGTGAACGTGCGTCCCCAGTCGTGATAGCTACCGAATGCCTAAAATCTACTCAAATGTTGCGTTTATGACTCGGGTCTGGAGGACCGTTAAGGAGTGAGGAGCCACGTGCCACCGGACCCAAAGAGGTGCAAGACATTAATTTGGTTAAGCGTGGCACTGTGCAGCGGGCATCGTCTAGTAAGATCGCTGCGGCCTACATGCATAATCGAACACGCCAGGCCACACGGAAATTCGTTGATGGCAGTGCAGAAAATATTCCACCTCATTCGACATTTTCGATGGATGAACTTGCGTTGATAAAAAGACCCTTCGATTGGGGTGTGTTTTGTCTGAATATCTGCTCACAATTGCATTTACATGCTCACTAGATGGCGCAGTGACTTCGAAAATTGAACGCTAAGAAGATGAAAAAGACGAAATGTGCCGATAATGCGAACCACAATGTAGGGCAGTGAGGTTAAAACCAAACTGCCAGTGGTCGATGTCATTGGAGCACCTTTGTGGAAATATAACTCAGTGCACCTTGGATGTTCGCCTCAAGGCGGCCGCTTGTGTAAAAAGAAGATTGACCATGCATGTTGAAAGATTTGCATACCTTTGGGGTCGGCGAACGGAAAGAGTTGCTGCCAGGGAATCTTCGGTCTTTTCGGCAGCTGTTCCAAGTACATTCTAGCCTAAACAAGATAGGATACATGTGCATCGTGATTTGTCGTCTCATCAGACCATTGCTGTCTCTCCCCAAGGGCTTTCCTTACCCAAAAAAGACCTCTATCTTGTGCATCTGACAAGCGACTTCTAATCTCTTGTGCTGCACACTCTTCTGCTACGAGTGCTCAAGTCTTGTTTGTGTTGGAAAATGAACTAACTTAATAGCCCTGTTCCCATGATGCTAATTGGTGCATGTAACGAACCCAACAGGGTGAGTGCATCGAAATAAGACGCCGTGCTGAAAACAATCAAGTCCAATAAGCGCAACTGAGCCCTCGGGCTATCCTCTGATTACCGGGGAATTACTGGTGACCACCAAGCCCATGCGAGATGCTCTCAAGCTCGCTCACATATGCACTAGCCTGGTAGGAGCAAACGTGAATTCAGTCAATTATCTTAAATTCGCTTCACGAAGTGGTGCTCGTTGAGAGATTTAACATCAAGACTTTCCCTTAGACTGACGCCCTGTCACGCGGAAGGACCACGCTCGTGCTGTGGCGATAAATGGCTTGAGCCCCGTGTTGTCTATGGCCTTCTTCTCCTTACTCAGTCGGGCTGTGTCAACGTACGTCGTCGACCCTGACGGAGTTTGAGAACCTCACCGGAGCCTCCACAGAACCAGGCGTCTTTGGAACCTCAGCTTTTCTTACTCGTTTGGGGTCATTGATGCTTAATGCATTGCGCGCAATGAAGTCAACAAAGTAACCCGGTCCTTAGCTGAGTTCATCAATACCAGGGATGCGATCCTAAACATCTTTCGTTCACAATGCCCAGGCCGAACACAAACGCGGATTTTACATTCACAAAACATGCGACGGTGGGTTTTATAACTGGTCGATGTTCATGATGACACGAGAGCGTGAGTTACTGAGAATGAACAGGTACCGAGCCTCAATGCAGGAGACATTTCATGGGAAGTGTCTATTGCCGAATCAATACTTGCGACACATGCTTTGTCCAACTAACTAGGGCGTTCAGTAGACCTGGTCGAGGTTGATGTCATTTATAAGAAGTAAAATTGAAACTATGCATTCGCGGTGGTCAGTGGAGTTGTGGTGGGCAACAATCAAGTCAGGTAAGGAGGGAATAACCTGAAAAGAACCGCCACAGTAACTGGGCCCTGAATTTGGAGTGGAAAAGCGTTTGTGTTAAACGATATGGCCTTCGCCTCCTTGATTTGGTGTGACACATGTTGCGGAAAAGTCGTGTTTTAAGACGGTGCTCAACACCGGCGAGGTTACTCCGCAAACACAAACAATGTGCCGAGCATATTACACTAACACCTTCTGCAGCTGCGTGATTTTCCAATGGTAGTATGTTGCACCAGGCAGCCTCTTTTATTTTTGCAACAACTCTTCACGCATTTTGCGGTGACTTCGATAATTTAACCTCAAGGGTCAACTTTATGGAATTATCAAACATCCAACTAGGTTCCACCAATTTACCATTTCAACGTCAAAACAGCCAAAATACAATCATTCTGTAGAAAGCAGGTATTGTGTGTGAGAAGACCGAATAGAAAAGAAAAAACACTACTACATCAGTTATGTTAATCATTCCGAGATATAGACATATGTACGTGGTTTGCTGGTTTGCGTAATGTTCGAGCGTGCAATACTTAAACGCCAGATGGCCTCAGACGGCCTTTCCTTCAGTAGTTCTCGATGCAGGCGCGTACATTAATTCGTAGATGGACAATGGCTTGCGTCATATAATCCGATTTGATGATTCTAAGGCGAGACCACTACTTTAGGCAATGCATTGTTCCGCAAATGCACACTACTGAAAAGAGTTTGATTTGAGTGTCGAACAGCTTGGACTTATTAAACACTGTGTTGCGGGTGTCAACTGGTCTCTACAACAAGTAAACTGCAAAAACCACATGCTTGTACGGGAGTTGTTTCTTCGTCGATTAGGCCTTGAACCACATAGTGTCACGTTTAGGCATTAATGAATCCCAGTAGCCAACATGCGACCTACTCATTGTCCACCAATCACTATTATTGCACAAAATAACTGCAGAGTTCTAGTCCTCACGCTACGATGCGTTCAATTCAATTTCGATAAGCACCACTTAGATGTTTGTGACACGTCAATCTTGAGTTAACACGATATACGGTGAGACTTTGTGGCTAAATTACCTTTTTGCACGAAATTATTTTGTGTAAATACTTGGTTTTTTGGTTCCTGTTCCAAAACCTTACAGTTGCAAAGTCAAATAGACTAATTAATTCGTGCAGCTTTACAAGACGCAGTGTGTCAGTGGCTAAGACCAGGGTTTCGGAATCCGGAGACATTTTCTGCCGAAAGCTTCACGTTGATGGTATCCTCGTTTACCTCATATGTGGAGAGTGCGTGAATAAAATGCCTTCACGGAGGTAACCGGTATCTAAACGTTTAAATTCCGAGTTGCATCGTGGTCACTGGAATATGACGTTTGGCTGATTGAACAAACGTTTGGTTATTAGATTCGTCCACAGTGAAGTCTCGTCAAACTCCACATGACACTGCTCGTTCATGTGGGGTCAAACTATTTAATAGTTTTGAAGAATTAGGAAGCTGTTCAATTCTGAATGCATCGATAAAAATTACAGTATATTTCATTTATACCAACAAAATTCACAGGAATCGAGATTCCTAAGGTTGTGATCTTTGTTTGAAACATTGCCTGTGATCTGGGAAATTGACTTGCTTCTGGTTTTAGTACACACCGCGTGTCCTATTCCAACCAAAAAACTGCAATTCGAGATTTATCTTCTCTTCGCAATTGAAATTTTGCAATCTAAACTCAGCTTTTTGTGCCACTGTTTACACAAATTATACTGGCTATAAACCGAATAATCTAAGTCGGTTTATTACAAAATTTCAACAGACGACCAATAGTGATTCCTATTTAAAATATGTTTTAGTTTGCATAGAACAAACAAATTAATTAATTTCGGAATTTGAGAGGATGAAGTAAAAATAATGATTTATTATTATCACATATATTGGGGTACCAGAAACATGCACTATGTACAAATAATCATTGACTACATCTGTGTTAATGCCTTTCATGTGCCACCCCAAGTCAGGTAATATAACTGACATCAAATAGTTAAGCAACATAAACCATCGTCCTGCAGAACGACGTGATTGAAAAAAAAACCCAAAAGAACCCAGTGCTTCATTTTATCTGCAGCAAACTCTAAAAATATCCGACTTACTTATTCTATTTTGCTTAAGTCATAATGTTAAAAATTCAGCTGTAACAAGTACAATCGACAATTTTATTTGGTAAAACTTCCTTTCTATCCTATTTATATCACGATTACACAGCAGATAATTTTTATTTTCCACTTTTTCCGCTCAAAAAAAAAGAAAACCTCCGCATTATTCCATCGGCATTGGTGCGTAATGTAATCCGTACATCCAAGCAAAACTTGTCTTTACTAATAAACCTTCAAAGTTGCATATATTTGTAGCTGCTACATGACAGCGTAGCATTTTCAAGTGAAAGAGCACTTTTTTTCATTCACCATCAATATCGTACCTAGAATTTATATTTCCAAAAGAGTGAATTAATTTGCATTCATCTCTTTAACCTTGTTTTTACCCTGACTGGATGAAGGGTAGCATGTATCGAAACCAGCTATTTCGAATTTCATTATTATACGTTTATATTTTTATTGGCTAACGTTTCGTTTGTGCATAAAATTAAAATATTTTTTTGCTGTAATTAATCATTCATTTATGCAGTTAAAATCAGGTTATTTTATGCATGTTTATATATATATTCGGTAACCTGAACAAGTACTACTCGATAGAGCTGACTCAAAGCTCCTCACTTAAGCTCTTGCCTCATGCTAACCATGATTACTAAACTCCGACTGGTAAAATTTAGCTTGTCACAAATCTCCAATACAAATGGGCGATATTTCAAAGTTGTAAAATCTATTCCTAAATATGAAAAACTAGAAGACTAAATCACATAAATACCTCTAAGCAATTGTTGAACTAGCACCGTGTATGCAAAACACTTCATTTCAACCTTTGTCACATGATTTACTTAAAACAAAAAACGCTAATTATGCAAATTGCATTCTTTTGGTAGAAATCACACCTTAGAGTGGATGTTAAGGAAGCTGATCAGCCAGTTAAGTAGGTTGAATAGCAAAAAAGAAAGAAGTGGGGCGTTTTTAAGAATACTCTCTACCCACTGATCAACTATGGTCAATGTTTATAATAACTAATTTGCACTAGATTCACCTATTCAAAATGCGACCCATTCAACGAGAACATTAAAATCGAAGCAATCTGCGTGATTTGAAGAAGACATCGACATTTTTATAATCCACCAGTAAATCAAAAAGTAGACTTTGCACACTCAAACCATGCAAAAGCTTGTGGTAAGCCGTGGGTGTCAAAAGCTGGGTTTACAAATCGCCGAAGATAAACTCGTCGGCGGAGAACAATTTTTTGTTAAGCACAGTAACTTAGAGGTAGGGATAATTTGAAAGGGAATAAGATGAAATCATGAAATAAACCAAGTGGAGATGGAAGCTCCAAACTTCATCACTGATCACATTGCAAAACTAAATCAGCCTCGATTAATTAGTAATGCTTTCAAATCAACTTTAACCGGCATCCCTAAAAATAACAGTTCTTGAGCCACACGTCTTTATGCTTGGGTGTCAGCAATATAATGACATCCTCTTGAATGTGGCTGTCAAAACTTCAACTCTAGTGAATTTAAAATATCAATAAACGAAGTTAAATTTGTTTATTTTAAATTTAAGGCATCTGATTACAGTGATAGTCACGAAGGCTATCGTAATTGAACCAGAATCTCGAGATCAGAGCACTTCGCATGCAAAATACTAGGTGTAAACATTGACTACAGCTGGACTGTCATCACTTAATTGGACACGTTCGTTCACCAACTTACGTGCTAGCTCTGCACAACTACTCGGCATTAGCCACATTTCGAGCTCTTCTACACATGTAAGATCACGTAACGACTGCGGCCTATTTTCAGTTATTTTCTTTTTGCGACAAAACTGAGAAGTTAGTTTTACGTCCCTCCAGGATTGGTATTCACAATGTAGGCCCATCGCCCTACTTTGTGATGCTGACAGGTATCTTGCTTCCGGAGTTGGGCCCCCACGGTTGTCTGCAAAAACACACTATAGTGTGAAGTTTACAGCTAGAAAAATGATTTTCAGTGCACAATGATGACTGACCGTTAGGAAGGAATTTAATTCTGGCCTCACTAACAATTTTTGCTACACTTAGAAGGGTTTACCATTACACTTGAGACTGAGGTACCTTATAAAGCAGACACATAAACTGCAAGAGCAAAAGCGGCGCCTATTTGCATTGCGAGGTGGTACACATGTTAGCACCCCCTTCAAGCGACCCTCACCCACACCCATTGCTGTAACGTGTGCACCAGATTTTTGGCCTATATTTTTTGTAACCTTATAGAAGCGATATATTAGTTTGCTTTTGTCCTTGAACAATTGGGTAGAGGCTTCACGAACTTACCAAAAACAAAATAATAAGGTTTGCAGGCCTGTGTTGCATAACAAATATGCAGTGGGTCTAAGAATGCTCTATTTCTCTACCTTTAATTGCCTTATCTTTCAGCTTTAAATGACTGCAATTAATACCTTAACTTATGGCTCAAATTTTGGTTTAGACAAAACGTTAATTGCGTCAAATCAAAACCTCCAGGCACTGCAAAACCCATTTTGATGATCAAAAATGCTTATAAAACGGATTTATTTATAATTTGTTGACTTGAAATGACAGAAATGTTCATTATACTTCTTGTACCGAAGACACGATTTCAGGGTTAGCTTGTTTCATCTAAACATGATGCAGCAGTTTATGCTGCTTTGAGCGCTCCAGACTCAACCCTAGTACCACGTAATTTCGTGTCAAATGTGATCAAAACGCGACCACCTCTTCCTACAATAAACGACCTAGACCTAGCTTGCTGATCGTACAAGTGCTGAATTACTAATAAATCCAAGAGTCAAGAAACATAAGCGTTTGCTACTTACGAATCAGTTGAACCAAAAACTGACATCCTAATTTTATTTATGTTTTCATGCATTGTAAACTAACTAAATTCCTTTATAGGAGAATCCAATGTAATTTTCGTAAACGAAATACACACGCATCCTTAAATAGAGGTCAATTTTTTAAGTTCGTTCGAAAATTTTAAAAACATCAAGTCTTGGCAAAAATCGTTGCAATATTTACTTACTTTTGTGTTGTTAATTGCATTAAGGTCTTCTTGATGGGGCGACCCAAGCACCTCGATGATCATCTTCAGTTGTTCAATGTCTAAGTAATCATCATAAGGAAATAAAACACTTCAGGTTGTCCATCTTATATTTTGCATGATGAGCATTCTCTGAAGTCAGAAACTGTTTTGATTTCGGTAAAAAACAGATGAACAAAGCGACCACTAACGTAAAAAAACTAACCAAAACGTTTTATGAGGAATTTGGTGCAGATTGGACATTCTAACGGCCACAAATAGGTGTTACGAATAATTATAGTAAAATTCACACGATAACAATATTTATTACCATGTACTACTAATTTTATTGCCAATAAGCGTTGCAAGTCTGAAGTATATTTTTGGCCAAATAGAAATTACGTCTATAGATAGCTTATCTACGGTTTATTATGAATTCTAAATGATTCCATCATTCCTAACGTAAATATTTACAACAACATACTATTTTTAACCACTTTATTCAAGTCAGTGCCTTCGTACTTTGGAAAAAGTTACTAGATCGGTACTATTGTGGCCTAACCCTTTAGTAAATCCACTACTTTTCAGTGACACTGTACCGTACCTTCGGTCTTTTGAGTGGATTTTACCGTTAAAACTGTTGTATTTGACAAAGTGCTGTATCTGGTTGGAAAGATAATTCTTTGTTCCATAAGAATGTGTGAGACTACCTGCTGATTTCAGTCGCGACGCTAGTCGTGAGAAAACTGGTCAAATAAAAAACCTTCCACTGGGAGCCGAATTCCCACCAATTAGACTCAATACAAGAGGATAAAAAGAGGGCTTTGTTACCGTATTGGCCACTAAAATGCCAGAGCATGGCACTTTACATTATGGCCGATTTGCTTGGGCGGCACACAACCTAATGGTCATCTGGCGTAAGAGACTGAAAGCGGCACCTTTACGTGCATTTTGAGCAAATAAATGAATTGAAGGGGCTGTTATGAGCAGACAACACTATTTCTCAAGCGGGGAATATACTTTCACAAGACGATATGTTTTTGCGTGTGGTGAAATGATGGGTAGAATTTCGAACATATGTTTTAGTAAAAGATTGCTACGTGCCAGTGTTAAGTGCTTCTGCGACCAGCATGAGGCTCAGATGGTGGATTTTGACCAATCTCTGCACTGTAGGGACTTTGCCTAGCTAACCTGCCCACTTCCTTTTCCGCTTTCAAACCAGATGCTTAGTATAGAATTCGGCAATGATAGAGAACTGGTTAATCAGCTTGAAAATTACGTCAAGTCTAGACCAAAGGAATTCTAGAGGAACTGAATTATCGAATTCATCATCTCACTCCAATTTATGATGCCTAAAACGCCGTTTATGTGTGCGCACGTAAATTAAGGGACGTAAATTTAAAACGTTTCAGGACCCCGATGAGTGCGCGAAAAAATGACCGAAAATGTTTTCAGAATCTGTTACCGTTAGTATCTACTCCTTTAACTACCAACAAGAACTATGACAAAACTGCTTACTTTCCACACGGATGATATCTCTTTATATAAAAGTGACTGCACCTTGTTTTAAACTGAAAGTCTAAAAGGATACAATGTTTTCCGGGAAAAAGAACGCGGTTGCTATACATTTCTGCTAGAATGCAACCGACCGACCACAGATCAATGGCTTTAGTGTAAACCTTGGAGGTCAGCATAATCTCCGGAGCTCGGTACCATCGGGTAGCCACATATTCCGTCAAAATTCCAGCCTGGTCACACTGCGGATCGGCGATGCGTGCAAGACCAAAGTCGCATATCTGCAAATGAGTATGCCGAATCATTATTTCCCACAATGGGGATTTAGAGGCTTTAATGAGAATTCCTAGATGTCTCTTGACTGTCATAACACATTAATAATCTTCAACATAGCCCGATACGCTGCACAATCTTCGAAAAAATATAACTTTGACAAAATTTGAAATGCCACTGAGCCATTTGAAGTTGTAACGTACATGCAAAACAATCCTTCCTCAGACAAATCAAATGATATTAAATTATTATTTGTAAAAATATTAACAGAACAGGGTTGCTATTGGTTCATAGTTGTAATTTTTCGGATTGCGCCATGTTGATGTTTTCTATTCAACGCCAACTATCAACTCGTAGGGTTTCAGAAAACTTAACCAAATAACTCTTTAACAAAACTGACCAATAAATGTTACATTAAGCCTTAATCTGAACATAATAAAACTATAATTAATCCTCATTTCCAGGAAATGAACAACACAGGGTACGTCACATTTATGTTCATAAAATACCAAAAATTTAAATAACAAGTCAGTAATGAACTCACTCTTAAGTCACACATTCGATTCAACAATATATTGCTAGGTTTCAAATCTCGATGCAAAACATTCGCAGAATGGATGAATTTTAGGCCTGACATGCATAAGAAATTGTTACTTACCTCTAAGAATCTGATACAAGAAATAGCATGTGTGTTCCTGACTTAACTGTTGTACTTTTAGCAGCTTATATAGATCAGTTTCCATGTATTTCTCGACGATATAACTATAAAATTAGCAGTCGTAAATTGTTCTTACACCTCCTTCATATCCTCAAACTTTGCCGTCGTAAAAACGTCATAGAGCGGGATGATCTTAGAATTCAACTTAATCGAGTTTAAGACTTACGTTTTCATGGTCTAATCGACTGAGTATGCGTATTTCCCGATAGGTTCGTTGACAGTATGTTTGGTGTTCGAATGGTGTGATCTTCTTTATCGCAACCCTTTCGTTCCGATGATGATCAAAAGCAGAACTGCATAAAATTACGTACAACCTACGCAATACCTACATAACCATTCCATAAGCACCTTCACCGATATAACTAAGGTCCGAAAATCGAGGACCAATATCAAACAACTGACCCTTGATTTTATACGGATCAGTACTCATTGCTCCGAAAGAGAAACGAGAGCACCTGATAATACAACTTTAATTGAAACGAAATTCCCGACTAATTTTAATAACCACAAATAAGAAAACTAATACTTTCGCAGCGCCATTCATGAAGGCAATGTGTTGTGCTGAAATAGGCCGCAGCCATCTGTATGATACCAGAAGCTCAGCCAATCCATTGTCTATGACGAAACATCGCAGCCAACCAGAAAAGGGGATAGATAAGAAGGTAGAGATCGGAAGGTTTAGCAGAAGGTATAGCAAAAGGTATAGCAATCTCTATTGAAAAGCAGCTAAAAAATAGGCTTTGTCTTGCAATAAATCAATAAAACTTGTCGTTTAACACCTCACTATGCAATTGTAAGACTCGAATACTCTTCAAAAAAACGACCAAGGTCTTTTACTATAAATAAATGTGCAATAAAATGACGAAATAAAACAAATTTGTTTGAGTGCAACTTTTTATTTTCAACAACCAATTATAAAAAACTATGCCTAATTACGTCATAATTACTGGTAAAAAACTTTAAGCTGCTCTCTGGTGTTAGGAAAACATCTAGTTCAAAATAAATAGGACTCGTTGGTTACCTTGATGAAATTTATGGACCTGAAGACATTCATAAAATACTTGCACATTTCGAAATTCCCAATTCTAAACAGTGCTTAATCTATCCTAACATTATATTTTCCAACCAATTTCAAAAACCTAATAATTTTTGCTGTTTTTACCTTTTGATTGCAGTAAAGATGGGTTTTTCTCAAACATTCAATTTTTTTCGCTAAGAATAATTAGGACTTATTATGTTATGTTTACTTCTAGCGCCGTATTGCAATTTTCGAATATGTTTTACTTCAATTTGCATGTTTTTGAAGCACCTTCTTTGCCATCACATGAGCATCAAGTTAATTTTTTGATATTTTTGACCTGATAAACTTTCTGAATCTTAGTGTTGAAGACTTACTCCGCACCATACATTTTGCAGACACGTTCTTCAGGTTTAATTGATACTAATGGTAGGACCGAAAAATTGAAGTCAGTCGCTTCTAGAAGAATTTACGCACAACGAATCGTATGCAACATGCTTTGACTTAGCTTCCTTTTTACAGCGTACTATTCAGTCATTCACATCCTTCATTATATGCACATTTTTAAGGCATACTGTTTTCGTTTTACTCTCCTGTCCATTCGTTTATTTACCCTTATCACAAACCTTGTTGCTTGACAACTTTATCAATCATGCTCGACTTTGAAAACATACATGATAGCTAGTTTAGACCAAAAAGGTGCGTCTTTTTGCCACTTCCGATCTTCTTGATCTTCTAGGGCACTAGTGTAGTGTAATCATGCCAAATCAAGTGAAAGCGGCACATTGTTGTTTTTAAGGTGATAGTACAAACATGTAACAACAGTTTACACGAATTCAATGACTCTGGCTAAATATGGATTAATATTTTGCGTAGCAGGCCGTAAATATCCAAAACTAAATGCAGTTAGCTATAAATCAAAAAAGAGCAGATGCTAAACTCTGCAGATTCCTTTAACAAACTGTTCGTACAATTAGCTAGTTGAAAGTTCTGATTAGCTCTAAACGGAAATCAAATATTTAATAAATCATGAATAGCATAAAAGTGATAGAGTAAAAATGAATTCAGATTTATCAAAGCAACTTAATTTTCAACTTCATAGTGTGGAGACAAAGGCAAAACCTCTTTGATCGACCCAATCAATTAATTCAAACGTGGATCGTTGAAAAATGAGTAAATTAGGTAATTGTAGGTATACAATACCATAAACTGTAGATTGCGCTCTCAATATGTTCAAAAGATTGTGCGTTGTGAAAACTTATTGCACAAAAATGACAACCCTATAAACGGTGTTGATTTTGATCATTAAATGTAATTACGTCTATTCTGTTGAGAGCGCCGACATGGTGACTCAAACAACACAGGGGCTACTGCGGTGAATCCGGTCCAATTACGCAATCGTGATGACCAAAAAGATAAATAAAACCGAAATGAATTATGCACAAGCGTATACTAGATATCTTGACGAAGTTTTGTTTACGTTTTCATGTATTCGATGCTGTGAACGATTTGTGATTTTTTTAAATGATAAAGTTGAGTGGACTTATTAAAATATAGGCACGTACATGACATTGGAGATTTATTCGGAGGAATGAATGAGCAGGCGATCCTGTGTGACTGACAGAAACATCGAAAAAGGGGGGAACATGTATGCAAGACTTCAACGACTGGGTCATTGGATGTGAATCAACGCAATTCAATAAAATCCATGCACTCAAAAAACTTATCATTATGACATATATCCTGCATTCCATGTACATTATGAAGCAAAACAAGCTGCATTTAAAAATAGTTACTAATACATTATTAATATAATACTGTTAAACAATACAAGTTCCATATATTTTAAGAAGTGTTTATTTAGACCGCACTAAAACTAAGGCTCTTACAAGGATTGCCCGTTGAAAACATAGAGTTTTTTAAACTCACTTTTGCCTATTTGTTACTTGTTCCAGTCGTTTATCAGCAGAGATTTGATGCTACTTTAAAGTGCTTGCCAGTTTTTGTTTTAAAAGACTCTTAAACTTTGCTAGTAAGAAGTAAAGCTCCAAAATTTGAAGTTATTACACTTTAAAAGGAATCTTATCGACATAAAATGCTCTTTTAAAATTCAAGTGACATAGTAGCCAAATCAACTAGTACGTATTCTGGTATTTTAAGAAAATAAAAATTTACCTATTTAGTGAAAAAATTTATTTTACAAACATATTCAGCATATCGATAAGGTGCTTTGCTACTTGTAACTTGGTAATTATTCCGGGATATATGAAGGTTACCATTCATTGTAGAATTAAGTTTTGGATATGTTGGACGTTTCAGAAATATTAAACATGCGTTATGCGATATGACTTGATGCAACCTATTAAAAGGGTTTTTGTCTAACAAACCCTTAGTGCATTACTATTGGAAATGTACGAATAGGATTGTCATAGTGTTTATCGACTTTGGATTTAAATCTGACAAATAATCATGGCAGCAAGTACAGCACTTTCACGCATAAAATTTTATGAAATCATGAAAACCATTGAAGAAAGCTTAGTTATATGTACCGTTGAACAATGTTCATCCATCAGAATAACTACCATTTGCGTCAGTAAAATCTGGGGCAGATTTCTACTTGCAAGCCGCATAAAAGTCACAATTCATAAAATCCTGTCAAGATAAAATTATTCTAATTTTTTGACTTCCATGCATTTTTCTTCTGGTTGTTTAATTGGTTCAGCTCAAATATATTTTTCACGTAAGCGATTTGAATTATTGAAGATGAACGGCTTGTAATGAGGTATTCGTGGTTTTCGTTATGATTTTGTTCAAATCTTTTATGCTTTTGCGTGCTGCTGACGACTATAATTTTTTTGAAACTTTACAATGGTGTTGTAGTGTAGATGCATCACGTGATTTCGTTTCTCTACTTGTTTCTGTGAAATTTAAGTCATCTCACCACTGTTCTGATTTTGGTATCAACAAATAGACTTTCCATCGTCTATTATTAATCTTTCTAGTTGATTATTGTAACGTTTGCGTAATTCCTACTCTTTTATTTACACGTATACATGTCATGACTGTTTATTAGTTCCAACTGATAACTTCTTGAGCATTACCTCGATATCGTTGAGTAATAAGCCGCTGTCGAAATATCTAACTGAATTAATTGTGACCCTCCCATCTTTCCCTAAGCATGTGCGTGAGTTTTTACGCTGTTTGTTTTCATTGAAACATAATGCCCATGCTTATTTTTAGGTTAAACTGCTAATTTCGATCTTTTAACTGACAGTGACGGTATATGTTAGCAGCCGTTGTGACCTGGGACCTGTAAAGAAATATTAGATGACTCTGTCCTAATTATTTTTATCAAGTATTAGTAATAGGCCTTCATCCATGTGGTTCTAAGAGCCACCGAGTTGTTGTGGTGGCATATTTGGCCAAGTTCAATCGGCCACAATTTTTTGCGAGACCTGGACCGATTTTCATCCTGACTGCATTTTCGGACAGATATGCTTAAACGCAGCCAACTCTTAGGAAACATCAAGTACCCTGAAACCCCTATTCCGAAGCATGAAACATCATGCCATTTGTACTTAACGAACATTTTTGTCACCAATGTAATTTAGGCTCCACATCCCATCTCCCTTTCTAATAAAACACTTCCTTGTTGTTAATGAGTATGATTGTAGTATGCATTATCTAACAGAGACTCGCTAGTTCCCACGCATTGTTGAACTTTTTTTTGTTATGTGTTTTTGTACTTGCTAGTTCTACTTTAGTTGTTCTTACTCCGCTTTTTAGTCATTACTGCCTCCTGGGCTAAAGTTATTGCATTTACTGACCTGCGCAGTCATTTTAATTTTTCGAAAATTATTGAGGTCAAAAACAACTTTGCTTTAAAAGACGCAAATTTGATGCCTAAACTTGTTTAAGATCTGTTTTTGTATTGCTTAATAATTTCTTTGGCATTAAGAAGTATTAACATCGATCCTGTGAGTGCTTATTATCCTAATCGGTTTCACGAATTTCTAATCCTTCTTTAGTAGCACCCAAGTTTTAATCGCTCAAAAATGGGGATATGTTACATAAACCTGTTAAACCAACCACGTATTTCGACTATGTGTTTTTCTAACACGTTAAATGTAGCTTTTCTTTTCATGCTGCTTCTGAATCTCCCATTATGTATTTGATTGTTTTTTTTACTCCTTACATTTTGGGATGCAGTTTTGTTCCTACGAAACATAGTTGAACTTACTATATTGGCCAAAAAGACTTGAATATCTGTGCCGTTTTTGAGTCGATGCTCGCATCGTTTGTTCATCACTTAAGCAAAGTTACCGAAATAAATACGTAGACGTCTCTTAGGCATTCAGTGTCAATTGTGCCTATTCATATAATTAATCTACTGTTTGGATTCTCGGTGATTATGTTCTGTTCAATTAAAATAAGCCATAGTCTATACCTCTTCGTGGATTCTACGTTATCACAGGCGATTAATTAAGTACCTTCCTGTATCGGGCTATCTTCTAAACACTGCGTAGTTCATTCTTGCGTTTCTAGTGTTAATTTGGTAATTAACGTTTGCTGTTTCTCTGGCACCGAAACTGCCCCATAGTATTCTATTGTTTGCTTGAAATTATTTGCACTTTTAGTTTCAGGACTATCGTTCAGCCATTTTCTTCCCCATGAATTATTTCCAAGACTGAAGTTCAATGTCCTCTGATATAGCTAAGAGACAACGCACAGTACCTTCATCAAAGGCGTACGACTTTGTTTGGCGAAGGCCGGTCCCTGCTGCACTTCGAGAGGGCACCTACTTTGACCGCTTTGATGAGGTAATTTTGCACTTTCGGTTTACTCTTTTTGATCTAATGTTAAAACGTTCAGCTTACATACAAAACGGTATTTGCCTCCACCGGGGTAGCTTCGTCGGTTGTTACCAATCTAGAATCTTAATCTGTGTTTCACATACTAATATTTCATTCTTTAATTCCACACCACAATTTGCATTAAGTCATAAACACAAATTTCCCTATGTTTCCAGACAGTATTCAAGTTTACCCTACAGTGATTCGTCTAGCAATTTAAGTTGGTAATGCGCAATATGTCCTTCCTGGCCATCAAATGCGGAAAACTCGATTCTTAGTGCAGTTGTTTGTTGAAATATTTCCTTAATTACGTGGGTTTTTTTTTATATCGCAGCTTAAAATAATGTAGTGCGTAAAAATGCGTCCTGTTCGATGTCTCGTTACGCTGTAGATTTTATGCTGTCGGCCACAGATATCTCTGCACATGTCCACCCAGGTGTGCAATGCATCGCGACACCTTCGTCCTTTTGTGTAAACGAGCCAAGTGTGCATGGCTCTAATTTAGCTTGCTTTCACTCTAAGGCTGTATCGGCTTGACCTCCCCAAGCCTCTATGCTAATTTGCTGGGTCATGCATTCTAGACGTTTTAGTTGAATCTTTTTTCGTCCTCTCATAGTCCCATGTGCTTGGCAAAAAAAAGTTTAAGTACTCCAGGGAAGACTGAAATTTCATCTTTTTCACTCGTTCAGTTTCAAGTGGTTGTCCTATTCGTTTGCGCTCTTGTAAGCACAACTATGTAGGTCACGTTAACGAGAGTTGTAAATTCCAAGGTAGAGTGTTGCAATATTTAAAACAAGCACGGTTTGTATTTACCAAACTATCTACCTTCTTTGACAGTCCTGAACTACCGGAAAACATGGACTAGGGAATGTGACACAGTGCTTCTTAAAGTCGATGGCCAATTGTCTAAATCTATCCTTTCGTGTTCTGGGTCCATCAACTTTTCTTATACTTTTGACCATGCAGACCATTTTAGCCAATAGTTTGGATCCAAATTATAATAAACGACAATACTGAATTCGTTCCGTTTAGTTTATTTTGTATTACACGTTTTAGTGTTTTCTGACTTTCCTCATTCCTCATTGTCGTTCTTATACGCATGAGACCACGGTTTGAGTTCCGTGATTTGAGCTTTTGTTCGGTCTGTGTTGTGTGTGAACCCGATTACCTGATTCCATGCCAATTTTTGTGTGAATGCTCTCTCGGTTTTCCATAATTCTTTCATGTACCTTTGATGAACTCTACCCTTAGAGGCTTTTCTATGCTTTCTTTACTCCATAGTTGGTTCCAATTTTAACAATGGCTTTAAAAATGTTTAGTACCTTATATGTCTAGTTTTCCTTGTCGGTGAATGTTGAATATTTGAATTTTTTTCTTTCATCCAGCCGGGAAACAGCTGTTGATTTCAATCCTAAAGATGACATTTCTGTTTGATCGATTAGTGACTCCGCGCTTGTATTGGCTCGGTATTCCTTATGCCAATGAAATGCCCTCTGTTACTAGACGCCCTTCTTATATCATGCTTTCAGATGCTGACTCAACTTCACCAGTCTTGAAGAGGATGTCTGTTATCTGTATTTTCCCTCTCAGTATTTCCACTTATCTTGATTTTTAAATTACTTTTGTGTAGAACAGTTTGATATGATTTATAGTGTTTTAATAACGGACACACCCATTATAACCTCGTCTTACGTAGAAATGTCTAACTACTTCCGGTTACTAGGGCGGTGTGATCAGTATACAAATGACTGATCCAACGCCTGCTTTACTCTCCGCCAGTGTGTTGGTCTGCTTATCTTTTTACACGATTTCTTGGTTATCCGTGCTCACCTCTGTGTCAGGTGCCTATCGTCAGCTCTAGTGTCTCTGTTCTCGTGTTTGCATACTTCCAGTGACTCCTTCATCCGCATGTACTCAGAGATCTGATCAAGCGGGCGATCACTAATGAATATTGAAGGCCGCCATCTCTTGAAAAAAATCAGAATCTTTCAGTACCATGTAGTACAGAGGTCACCATTCTCCAGTGTTCTAACTAGCGCTTCCTGAATTACATTGTTGTCATTACTTGATCGTCAATTGTCGTGTGATTAGTTTCAATCGCCTTTAAACCTGTAAAAATATCGTTTAAAACCAAAGTGTCGCATCTGATCTTGAAAATTGATTGTATTTTCGGCGTACATGTTGAACATTGGCAAAACTATCGCACTGGAATCGGTCGGTAACTGGTAGAGAGACCGCTATTACTCCACCATGATAATTTGTGTGCAGCGAGATTTTTCCCATGTTGTTCTGCTGTTCTGTTGTCCTCTTCTGTGTGACTTAAGATTTGTTGCGGTGTAATTATTATCACTGCATTATGTGGGTGATATATCACCGTTTACCTCCCTCGCTTTTCTTCAGGAAACCGGAACTCTAGAGCTTGGTTGCTTCCTGCGTGTGGATGAAGACGGATTTTTCCTGTTTTGGAAAAGCGATGTCAATGTATGTCATTAATATCCTTATTTTTTTTCTTTCTTCACTTTGGCCGTCTGAATCAACAAATATTTGCATTACTGTCGTGGCCCTCTTTTAGCAACACTTTAATTCTGTTAAGGATCGCTAACACCGGACCGCTCTGTTGGCCTTGCAACCGGTCATGCATAGGACGTTTTACTTTTTTTTGGAATTGCCTTTTCAGATCTCTACTTGGTAAAAGTTGTTCTCGTGTGAATACACTAAAAAGAGAACCACCCCACCCTGTCGTTTGTGTTTGTATGAAATTTCTGCATTCGCTCCTCTAAAACGACTGTTAGTGATTGACTTGAGTCAAATTTGATTCTCGCATTCAGTAGTGACAGTACCACAAGGGCGATTATATGCCCCTTTGTTTGATTAGTTCATGATGGTGTCATCGTGCACAAAAATGCTATCAGATACAAACCTTCAGCTCCCATATTCCAGCTCTACGTTTGAAGACGATCACGTCTTGTCAAATGTTAATCTGCCCTTGAACCAGCCTCACTCGAAATTCCAATGTCGTGAAAAATGTCATTATCAGATATTTCGTTTGCCCTTAATCATTTACCATTAGTTTAAATAATGTGGAACGATGCGCATGTTGCAGCCTTATGTAAGTTGAAAATATTCATTCATTCTCTAAATGTAAACAGTTTCATACCCCAAAGTCTGGCAGCTTACTAACTTCTTAAATGACTCAGGACAAATGTGCAATCCTGGTGTTGGTTTTCGACCTGGATTGATTGTCCTTTCGACGATTTTAACTGGCACATTACCCCCTTTTTTTAGCGACTGAGAGTCACTACTGTGAGCCATGCATTTTCAATCTATACTCAAGTTCAAGCGTCATTTACGGTCATTAGCATGATATAAATTCGATGTTTTGGAGACAGGTTCTTAACCCTCACATCTGGTAAAAATTTTAAGTTGCATCCGATATTTCAATGACTGTTGCTGCTCAGATTTCTACATTTCGGAGTATCCACCCGGCCTCCACCCTCACTCGATGAAGCCTACAATCCTGTCAGCTGGTCGGTATCGTTTGATATTCTTCACCTATCAGTAATATTGAATAATGGCCGCGTGTTTTCACTGATTTTGTTGGGATTTGCGAAATACTCTGTGCGCATTAAGCGTTTTTTTCTTGTTTTATAGGAGGGTCAAGTCCTAGAACTTTCACAAGTCAGCGACGTTCGCCATGGCATGAAACCGAAGGTAGCCTTTTATCTAAATACCGACTGAGTTCTACCGGTTCTCGTATTATTAATAGCCAAATCAATATTGTGTGACTTATAACAGCTAAATCGTTGTTGTATTGGAACTTATCCTAAACCCTTTATCCTCCATCAATTGTAAATTACGTCGGACGGAAGTTTTGTTGCCTTTAAGTAATCGTTTGTTCGGAAGATTGCCGCACATTCCCTATCATTAAGTGTGTAATGCCTTCTTTCATTTCTCACACAAAATTAACATTTGCTAATTGCTGTGTTCATTCGTTTAAAGTTCTCTCTGTGTGTGTGTGTGTGTGTGTGTTGAAACTCATACCGATCACTTAAATAATGAACATTTTACTATAACATTGCTGCTCGGTTGTAAAAGCTCGTTGGCCATGCATTGAAACTGGCCCCTACTTACAATATTGCCTCGCAGTTCACTGCTTGTGTGCAGCCTGTCTCAATTCCCTTAGTGAATGCTATAATTTATGTTGTTGCTTGTGTTCCTAGACACGCTCTGTGTTCGTATTTTTACCGTAGCTTCTTAATGGAATTCTATGAAGAAATTTGGTTCTGGTGACGAAACGTGACTTGACGATTGATTTGCGAACATACCAACTACCTTTTTGTCACAGGGAGCTTAGTCTGTTGTGTACTCCACATCCCTAACAGCTATTTTACTAGCCTGTTTTTACTCCAAGATTTGTTTTCATCTGGAGTCTGCTTAGAGGGAATCACTTTAGCATGCGGCTTCCTTTCGGAACACTAAAATACGCACTTCCGTTTATAGGGGGTCGAAGCCCTTCTACTCCTAATTGCCAGCAGAATTCTCGTCGGTTTCCTGAAATTTTAAGGTTTTCGTTTAACTAAAAAGAGAGCGAAACGCTACACTTGCTTATTTGGATGTGCTAACTGCGTGCCATTATAGACATGATCTTTGCTTATGATTGGTTTACAACCTCAGTCGGGTTTTGGCGATCAAACCGACTTGTATGGACATTGTCGCTCCTCAGGCTCCTTCAGAGCGAATCTGACACATGCAAGCGCGTGCACTAATTCCTTTGAAAATAACCTTTGTCTTCAATATTTAGCATGCCGTAAAGGTATTGCCAGTCTTACTTGCTAGTATTTTTAAGCTTTTACAGCAATGGTTTTATGAGGTTTAAGTGTAAATGTACGTATAAGTATAAGTGTTCCCCTTCCCTTCTGTGCTGATTCGTACTCTGTCGCTAGTTTTTTGCCTGAGTTGAAAATGGTTATGTCGATATTGTTCACCGTTACTTGCAAATCGAGTCTTGTGTTTCTTTGGATTTTCATATCCGGTAACAACAACTGTTTTTTTTAATTCATTGAGAACAATGTCTTCTCAGTTATTGTACTTATTTTTTGTAGGACGAAAAACTGGTAGCAACGTTGACGGAACGAGTGTCGTCCATTGGAAAGAACTTGGATGAGCACATCGTGACGGTCTGTAGTGGTCTTGATTTGGTCAACATTTCTTACACTAATTTCGTGGCCACGTCGCCTGAAGTAGCGTCAGTAAGTTGCAAGTTTCATTCACCTACCCTATTAGCGAAGCACCTGGGTTGGTGCAGTTGTGGTGCCCAAGCCACATGCAATAAATTTAATTTCCTACCGCACTATGGCGAGCGTACATGTGACTTCCATTCTGGTCTTTTAGAGGCAAATGGGCTAGAGGTATGCGTGTTGCTTCTCCCATCTACCGGTGATGAAGGGCTAGTTCCTTGTCCAAAGTTCTTATGCTACAATTGATCGTTAGGTGAAATTAGCATAACCGTGCTGGAGATAGTAGCCTTTGTCTGGGTATTTGAGTTTCTTGATAATACATTGAATTCACTTGGGGTGTCGTACCTTTTATCTTCCAGTTCATTTTGGATGCGAGATAAAGGGTGCTAGGTCGTATTGTTGCCTTATATTTATGCACGCAACCAAACGAATTCCTCGATAATTGCTAAATTCATGCCAATAACTCACCGTTTGAGCATTTTACCGTGGCGAATTTACCTTCCCCTGTGACTGATGCCAAACTCTGGCTGCCAATAAACCTCGGCGTGCATTCTTGCTCTTTAGTGTGGCTTTAAAACGTGTGTTTTAGTTGTGGATTCAATCAGTGCGGGGTCTCACGCACAACACCAAAGCCCAGAACGTTTGCCCAATGACCCAGCTCCGGAAGCAGTAAGTTGCATAGCCGCTTTCAACGTTTAAATCCCGATTGCTCTAACTTCGGAACCACTGCTTAGTCGGAGGATATCCAATCCACTATTTCCCACTGTTCGAATTCACAACCTACTTTTTTAAGCCATTGGTTTTGTAGTAACTCCCCTTCGAATGTGCATCGCCAACTGGTAGCAGGTATTTCTAGCGTTTTTTCAAACTCTACGTACTGAAACCTAAATCAATATTTTCTTATACAACCGTTTTAATCACACTGAGCATGTTTTACGTTTTCTGTCTCATAATCTGTGCTAATGTCCTGATTTATTCAGCATTTGTGAATCCCTTAATACCTAAAATGCTTTGTTGGCTACTTTTTGTCTGGTTGGGTAAATGATATTTTCATTGCTTATTTCTTAATTGCTTCATGTTTCCTGTCTTGACTCCTGCCGTATTCTTGCGGAACTACTGTTATAATCTTCTATGGATCTCTGCTCTTCTGGATAGTGTTAAGGGGGCAGTTGTCGATTTGAGTGGCAATGGCAATTCATTTATCCGGGAATAAGGCCTTATATTTTCCCCTCGAAGGCTGTTGTTGTCTCTTTTTCCTAATTCCCATAATAATCTAAACACGTTTTCTGAATCCGCTTTCCATAGGTTTTCAAATTTGTCTTCTCATTTTGACGATTTTTTTACATTTATTCTCAAGTTCTCACTGTTCTACTCGTTCCCCAATGCAAAAGCAAATGCTACCTCGTATTTTTCAGGATATTATTCGCTTTTGTCAAATGAATTATTCACATTCCAGCTATTTGTTTTTCGCCGAGGTAAATGCGTTTTGTAGCTTTTTATTAGTCACCACTGCCTTAAACGTAGTCACTGAAATGGTCTAATATCATCATGCAATTTTCACGAGTTGCGTTCAATTTTCTCGCCCACATCAAATGTAGTTTCTTCTGTCTTTAACATTCTCTGCATTGTATTGCCTTGAAACTAGATTCCACGCCTTGGGCGTGTTCTTGTTGTTTTCGCAAGATCTGCTTTCTAATTTTGTCAGAACACGTTTCGCTATTACTCCTCGAGTTACTGTAACATATTACTGCCTACCATAACTGTTGGTGTGTCTGTAAATTGGAGGTGTATCTTTGCCCTCAGTCTAATGTTCTGTGACCACACTTAATACTCCCAATTGTCTCTGTGTTTTTAGTTGGTTGCGGCTGACACTTACGGTGAACCCTCGCGGTAAAATACCCGTCCGGGTGGTGACCAAAACGTTTGCTTCCGGTCGCAACGAACGCATTATATTCCAGAGCTTAAAGGAACTGGGTCTTCCTTCAGGAAAGGTAAGGGTTGATGCTAAATCTTAACATCGTCAGTGACTGGAGGCATTTGCGTATCTGTCATTTAACAATTCCACATTGGAAGTGGGGTCACTTAAACTTTTATCACTTCCGAACCACTTGGACTTCGAAGTGGGCTCTGCAGGGTTGCAAGAAGCATTCTTTCGGTGCTCTGATTTTTATCAACTTGGAATTAGTAGGCACATCGTGGCGGCTTAGTACTTATCCTCGAAGCATTCAGCTGTAGATTGAAGCACTCTGGGCCGTTAAAAAATCTTTCCATAACCATCCCATTGTTGGTAGTCAAATGACGCCTGTGGTTAATCTAACTTAACAACCCTTAGGTTTCCTACGATGATCCAGGATTATGAAGAAAGTTACTCTTTAAGCGATGTGGATTATCTTGAAGATGCGCTCTAGTGTTGTCGAGTCATTGTGTTATTTGCCACTTTTCCCAGTTAAAGGAGGCTGATAAATTAAGTAAAAATCACACTGTTTGCATAAATCTCAGCTTGGTGTAACGTGGATTACTCTTCGATCCCTTGCTTAAATGTTACTTCGACCAAAACGTTCTCTGTGTAGCACTCCGTGGCGTTACCCTGATTCATTCTGGAGACCGATCGAAATATGTAACTTTTGCAGTGTCTAGGACGCTTCCAATTTACTCAACACTGAAGCTAGCTGAACGAACCATTCAGTGGTAAATTCTGCCCGTAATGTTTAGCATTTTCCAGTGTGAATAGAAGGAAGTCGACATTTTGTGCTTGTTTATCAAATCTAAGAAAACTCTGCCCAACACAAGCGGCCGATCGCAGTTTACGTGGATGAATGTTTCGCATCTGACCCCTTTCACTTTTGCTGTCCCGCTCATTTTGACTTGGCTATGTATCACTTGTTTGTGTTTCTTCCTCTAGAACGATGAAGTCGAACCATCTGAGTTCACTTTCGAACGTTTCTACGAACTCTACCACAAGATATGCCCTCGGACCGACATTGAGGAATTGTTTAAAACCTTGTATGTTGTGGCTATCTTTATCGCCTTTAGGCATCATACATAAATGCATGCTTGTCTTCCACTGGGTACATTACATTGCAAATGCCCATCCCTCAAAGCATTCGTCTTACTTGCTTCCTTATTACCCCTTCTTAAGTGATTTCGAAATTTCTGCTGTTTCTCATATCTCCAATGGTGCCAGCTTAAAAAACAGCATTCCTTCTGGGTTTTGCATCATCTGCTTCGGTTGCTTTACATAGGTGGAGATTCAGCAGCAACGTCTGCCCCAATGTTATGCTTTTCTGCGTCGAGACAGCACATAAAATTGCATATTTTGCTAAATACCTTTTCACTCTGAACGTATGGCAATATCTGCTCATTCCTGCAGTGTAGGCGATGATCTGCCTACTTATGTTATCGCTTGCGACCTTGGCTACAGAGTGCGAAAATGCCTAGAAATTCGGTACAAGGCTACCTTAACGATGGTTTCTATAGGCATCGCTCACGTAGCCATTTGGGGTTCCTTGTTAAAACATAACACCACTTTCTCTAAAGCCGTCGAATACATATGACAACTCGTTTTATTACGAAAGGGCCTTGCGGAAGTCCTTTCATTGTAAGCCACGAAACGTACATTATTGATGTCTATGACGATTTTGTTTACAGGGCGATGCATTGCGAACTTTGGTCTCCATGTCAAAGAGTCTCAGTTAGAAGGCTTTAAAGCAGTTCCCGATGCTGTCTAGCTGCAATTCAGTTTATTCGCAAATGTCCACGAATGTGTAATTCTATTTCTTTGGAACCGATTGTGTTTAATTCGCCAAGGAATCATTCGCTGAATGTTGATTTTTTCACTTAGTTTATAAATGCAACTGACCAAAAGTTAGACTATTTGATAAATTCCTTCTGTGTCGAATACTGCATATTTGAATCTATTCTCATGAAAGCTATCAGACTTTCTGGATGACCCAATGGAAAGGGGTTCATTTTTGTTTGATACTTTGTGCCCTTCATTCGTCTTTTTGGGATGTACTGTTTGCATGAACTGGCAGCGCTCTTTTCATATTTTCCCTTTGTTTTCTAAGCGACCCTTCTCTTAATTTCTTTATACGACATGCATGTCTCTATTTCATGACTCATTTGACATTCGAAATTATTCCGCGGCCAACTTCTAGAAAACGCAAAATCAGTAATACCATTCATTGTAATATGTAAATTGGCTATGAATATTGGTACTCTTACCGTACTATTCTAATTTATCAGTATATGTCCAATATTTTTTTTCAAGTCTCAATTTTCTGCCTTTCTGTGTCGATTTAGGTCAAACGGAAAGGAGACCCTTACCATCGAAAAAATGATTGAGTTTTTGAATGAGGTATGACATGACCTTTAACAATTGTATCGATTGAAATTTGATAAATTGAATCATTTTAACAAGCTTTCCCTTATTTGCACCACCATTTTAGTGTTGATGCGTAGCTGAGTGTTCAATTTTCGTGTCATCAATATAATATGCCACTAGTGTAGTTCCACCACTTTTCATTTAGCTTGAGTGGGTAGCTTCCCGAGGCCATTTTTCCTGTGTGCCGTTCCTAAACCCTATAACCAGCCTGCGAATTTGGCCAGACAACAAAAATGCGTGTTTGTACCGTAACATGCTTAATTCTTAACATTGAACTAGCTTTTCGAGCTTTTGATTTGACGTGCCATCCGATGTGGCGTGATGGTTGGTGTCATTTGGCATCGGAATCAGCATCGTTGAGTCGCATGAGTGTATTACCGATTCCCCATCTCTTCCCCCTTTGAGCCACTGCGTCGCAACGAGTTGTCCAGTCTGTTCAAAGGCCAATTATCAGTCTGGCGTCTATTCGGCGTCAAATAAACGGATCAAAATTGGATGGCTTTGTGGCGTCATTTGGTTGATCTTTATTGATGTTTCATTTCGAATGAGTTTCCTTGAAGCCTCATGACTAATATAAACTGGCAACTTGAGTTTTGGGAATGTGGAATAAATAGGAATTCTTGGAAGCCCGTCATTCCTGCATTTTTTGACTTAATACTGCCATCTGTTGCATTATTCTCTTTTACTGTTTCTCACGAAGTTCCATTCGTTAACAGGTTCAACGCGACCCCCGTCTCAATGAAATACTTTATCCTTACGCAAATCGTCAAACAATTCGTTACATTCAAGAGACATACGAGTCGCGTGACGAGAATACGAGCTCAGGTTTGTGGCCGCTCTAACCTACTTCCGATTTCTGGATGCAGTCTTCTATAACTAATGAGGACGCCACACCAGCTCATCGAGGGTTGGCAAATTTACGGCAGAGTGTCAATCTGAGTTGAAAAATAAGAACGACACGTGTTCTGATGTAGCTCTGGATGCCACAAAAGCCTATCCTCATTTGTCTATTCACTGATTCAGTGAACCGTCCCATTATCTAGTGTAGTTTGTCCTTTGATCTTTACTGCATCACAATAGGACACGTTCAGGTACATTGTTTTTGTGAATGCGTGCCTTCAACACTATTTGCTCCGTTTTTTTGGGTTTTAAACGGATATCTGTCGGTGGCTCACCAGCTTGACCCGCATCGTTTTACGCTGATCCTAATAATCCGACTAAAAGATTACGTGGGTTCGCTCGCATGTGAGCCGATAGTGCAAATGGCGTCAGATGTGTAACTGGTCAGAGGAAGGGTTCACTGCCATTTGTTAGTGGGCCCGAAAAGTTGTCCGTTGTTCCTGTTTGAAGCGTAGATGTCATTTTTTACGCGTACTCGTTATTCTATCTACAGACACCTTAAGTCTAAAGGGGTTTTATCGATACCTGATGTCTGACGACAATGCCCCAGTTTTCCTCGATCGGCTGGACATATGCCAAGATATGGATCAGCCGCTATGCCACTACTACATCAACTCTTCCCACAATACTTACCTTATTGGAAGGCAGTTTGGTGGCAAGTCATCTGTAGAAATCTACAGACAGGTACTTCTCGCTGGATGCCGGTAAGCTTGGGTAGTTTAATGTCAATTTTACAACCATGTATGTTTATTATGTCTACATCCTCACTCTGTTTTTGCCCCTTTTTCGAACAGGACATTTGCTGTCTCTCTGTGTCCACTTCATTCGACTTTCTTTTTATCAAAACGATTCCACTTTCCTGATGATAATCTGGCGATTTTAATTCTTAAACATATTGTAAAGTTGCGTGCTCGTGTGCAAATTCATTTGTGCCAAATTTACTTCTAATCTAATGATCATTTTTGTAATCTCGCTTAAATCCCAAGCATTTGGTTTGGTAAGCTTGTGGTGTGATCGTGGACTAAAATATTAGCTAAGAGCATGCAATGCCACCCCGATAGGGTGCTGTATCTTCGTTTGTCGAATTCATCGACTTATGGCTGCCCGCAGTTCTACCTGCCGTCTTCCAATTTTGCAACGAACCCCATGTCAACACGCCAGGTGGCAACTGACCTCTGAGAGCTCCTAAACGCAGCCACATTTATGAAAGTTACTAGCTCCCTAGAATGCTATTCTTGCATTCTTTTGTTGTCCTGTGACATCTGATCCTTTAACTTTGTCTTTTTCGATAAAACTGATCCGAAACTGTGCCTATGAGAAAGTGGAGCAACTGGTGACAATTTAGATGTGTGTATTTTTATCTTCAGATTACAAATGCTATCGTGTAAGTACATAAACCATAGGCGCTTTCTAACTTCGCCTTCCAAGTTCCTACATTATATACCTCATCTGTTCTCGATTTATTTCTCCTAATACTACACTTTTTTGTGTAGAAGAACTCACTTGTTGTTATCAACATGCGTAACGTTTTGTCCCTCATGCCATCATTGGCTTTTGTTTTACTGTGTTCGTATGTGGTAGATCGTACAGTTAAAATGCGCAATAACTAGTATTTTGTGCGCCCAGGGAATCGTTTTACAACTCTTAGTGTTTACGACGTTTTATTTTTGCGTCGTAGGTGCATAGAGCTCGACTGTTGGGACGGAAAGGGGGAGGATCAAGAACCCATCATAACCCATGGGAAAGCAATGTGCTCTGACATACTCTTCAAGGTATGTATTTTTGTTGTTTTTGCGTCAATCGTTGTTGCTTTGGTCTTCTTGATCGCCTAACAGTGCCTTTTTATTTCCCGTCGATTATTTGAAAGCGTATCATTAAACTGCGCTTTTGCTTGTCAGAAACGGCTGATCTGTTAGAATTCTGACACATTTTGAGTGTCCAGTAGGCATAAAACTAACGTACTACTACCCAATCCTTCAATTTTTGCCACATCTGACTCTTCGCAATCAATTTGAGTTCTGGTTCATCCACCATCGTAATCTCGTTGACGTTGATAAATTGCCCATAACACGGGCCTTCTTTTCAACATCTAGTCACAGTTCCAGGATCGACTTATTTTTCTGTTTCATGAATTTTAGGATGTAATCTACGCAGTTCGCGATACGGCCTTTGTGACCTCGGACTATCCCCTCATTATGTCTTTCGAGAATCATTGCAGGTTCGTTGTCATCTCTTCCCCTGAATGTTCGAGCTGTGTGTACCACCCCTCCCCCCGAATTTGTTTTAATTCACAGTTTTCCCCTCCTAAACTTCTAGGTTCATGTTGGTTGGGCTATTTTACATCATCTGTTGTCGATTCAAAAGTTTTATAAACTTTATGGAACCAAAAACGCTTTGAAGATAACCACCATAACCACGTGTGGAATTTCTTCAAAAAATCATGTGTCGTACGCTTACATTGCATACATCGGTTCCTATGCGGTAATTTTAAGTATTGCTGCGTTTTAACTCCTCAAATTTGTCCCTTCACGGGCTCTGGAATTTGCAGTACTTTAGATGCCAAGGTCTTTTTGTGAAGTTTTTTACCCAATTGCTTTCCTCGCAACCCTTATGATAATGTTCATACAGTTAAGGAGTTTACGAGTAGGCTAAAGCCCAGGTTGCCAGGAATTAACCCATCAAGTTTCCCTTTTTTGAGCTGGATTGTTTTGTACACACTAAGCCTCATCGGTTATCCGTATTCGATGTAATTTCGTCATCGGAAAATGGCGGTTTTTCTTGCCAAATGACATGCAAGTGGATGCCGGTCTTTTCGCACTTAAATCTCATAACGAAACGCAGCGTCCCCAAAATTGGAGCTGCGATTGCCCCTTTAACCTCACTACTACTAAAATGATAAAATTCGGTTCTCCACTAATGACCTCCTGTTGTACTTTCGATAACTCGGCACCGTTTCTAACTTTGCTTTCGAGAATAATGCTGTAATCTATTTTTCCAACAGCAAGCATCAACAATACAAACTGGCCAAGTACTGCGAGGATATCCTTGGTGACATGCTTCTAACCAAGCCGCTTGATAAATACCCCGTAAGTTTCTTGCTCTGCCACATTCCTCTTTCGTTTCGGACTAAAGTCCCACAGGTTTTTGTCTTTTTCTCTCGGCCCCGTGGTATTGCTAATTTTGAAACCTGTTTTGTCCGTATGTAGTTCAGGGTTGAACCTCGTCTGAGGCGATAGTTGTGATACCTCTGTTATCTCCCCAAATTAGAGGCTAGTAGTTTTAGATCTCTCCTACTGATTTGGTGCCAATGGTTCAAACACCCTCATATATTTATTGTACCATGTGTTGTGTTGGCTTCGGTGCTAAGCACTTTCATTTAGTGTCTGTGGTAAAACTGGCGATGATGCCTTCTGCCCACACCACACAGTCGTGTTTTGCACTTCTTGTGGTGCAACTACCTGTCTTTTCCAACAGGCAATATTCCTATATTAACTATTCTCGTTTCTAGCCTTTCTCAAGGTTTCTTGCCTTTTGTATAGCTTGAAGCTGGCGTTCCCCTCCCCTCCCCCGAGAAACTCAAAAGAAAAATTCTCATTAAAAACAAGCGTCTGGAGCCTGATGTCGAAAAACGTAGGTTTTCGCTTTGTCGTCTTCTTTAGTAGCTGGTCCTTGCTTAAATATATGTTGGATTATTGTAATTAGCTTGGTTGTGTTATCGCTATTGTAATCCTGCCCACGAACTCCCTCCAGTGCGTTTCTTACAAACCAGATTCTGTTATATCGGGCTTTTGCCTCGTTTCAATTTAGCATTGACAAGATTCCAGCTTAAGCGTATATTTTAGGCTATGTAGAACTTTGTCCTATTACATATTTGTCATAATACTTTGTGGGAGTAAGCCTATAGCACCTGTTGCAATAACTGCAGAGTGTATGGTGAAGTTGTTTCTGATAGAGCAATTGAAGAGCGGTTAAAGAACATAATTACAGAAACTCTGTTAGGAAGAATAAGCCAATTTTGATTAATGTCAATGGATATTCGGTAAAATTGCCATCCATGAGTGGTAGTTCGAGTTCCGTGTAAAGGCAAAGAACAAAGTAGAGATGTCATTCAACAAATCTATTACGGGGAGCAAGAAGTCGATCAAGTATGACAACTATTGGCAGTTGCAATCAGTTTTAAAACCAATGCTAATTGAAGAACATCACTGTCTCATGTACGGCGAGTGCGATGTCTTACCACGAGCTGTCATCGTGGTCAGTTGTAGGTCATTTTGTGGTCCTCATGTTGTGTTAGTGGCTGTAAGTGCTTATCGGTCATACAAATACCTCTTGATATTGTGAGGCGATGGATTTAGTCGCTTTTTAGGCTCGCCTCCGTTTAGCGTCTGTAATTTGTCCTATGGCTTACCACCGTCTATTCGTCTGGCTTCCTTTTGGACAGCACCAACTAACCTATGAATCAAAGTTAAATGTCGGTTTGATTACGTTGCCGTGTTCATGTTTTGAATCTGGAGGATAATTAAAAATTTTGCCTCTTAGACCAGCTGGAACTGTTCATGAAGGGCCAAGCCGACCCAGTGCAGGAGGACGATGACGTGGCCGAAGATCCCGATCCTGTGGTCACTCCCGATTGTGACGTCGGCCCTATGAACGGTAGTTTCTTGTGATTTATTATTACAAGGACTAACCTTAAATAACAGCTACATAGCAAAGTGACACTCGCTAATGTCATCGTCTACCGACCACGTGTATCCCTATGTTACATCATTTCTTGATCAGGTGTGCATTTCGCATAATTTAAATTTTTTTATTCGAAAAAGGCCGAACAGTTAATTTCCCACGGCAACAAATCGTTATCTTAATAATCAGCTTCGTTAAGCCTTACTATCGCTCGGTATTCTGTATTCATGATTTTTTTACGGCTATCCCATTGGTTGATTTCTACGACCCCTATCTCAGTTTTGCCCATGCGTTGGAGAAAAACAGTTGATATGCATTAGGGAGATTTTCATTTCAAATAAGTTAATCTTGTGATGAAGTACTTCAAGCACACAACAGTGGCCAACATTCATGAATAAGTTGAAATCCAAGTGACTAGCCCAATCATTAATAAATACCCTGCAATGCCGCTCTCAAGATAAGAAAACCAAATGCCGAGAAAGTGTATACAGTTCAGGAGTAATCCCCAAAATATCGATCCTGGTTCATTTCGCTGTTTTAGTTGGACGGACTCCGTGCATTTTTGTGTGCAAATTCTAGGGGAGAATGGTTTAAAGTGCGGTCGTAGCAAGCACTCTTCCAGTATGTGAATTCTCCAACTCTTTCGGTGACCTTCTATGACGCCCTTGGAACTTTCATTGTCAGATTTTCAATTAAGTTGTTTCATGTGCCGATATTTCTGGCCAAATGCGTTGTGAGTAGAATCGCCATCATTCTTCAAAGGGTGTTTGGTCCAAGGTCCCAAGAACATCTCAACCACTTTTAGACCGAGGATGAATAAATAATGCCCTTTTTATTTACGATTTCGATTATCTGTGTATAGCCATATCGATTTATGAATTGGAATAGTTGTTTTTTGTTTGTACAAATTTTTGGTCGAATTTTTTTTCAACTTCGAGATAGCGGGTATTTCAAGCAGATCATAACCCATTCACTTCTGATTTGTTGAAAATGCGACCTTTCGATGGCTGTAACCCATACGTACTCCAGTTGCCCTGTGCGTTGTTGGTAAGTGCCCGAGTACACTCTGGCAGGTCATCACGTTGGATGCGCTTTTGTGAACATTCCTGAGACGGGCCTGTTCTCGTGCTGCGTCCCCTCCCCTCGTCATTGCTCCCGACTGTAGGCGCATAGTGTCTGTGATCCGGGTAACACCCAAAGGTGTCTTTTTATTGCACTGAAACGTTGCTCACATTAATGCAATATTAGGTCTTGCTTTAATTGACTGTGGAACTCGTTAGACTCATTTTCCTTTTAACTTGCTTCCTCAATTTCGTATGATCACGTAGCGCAATGCTCGGTGTTTTTTAAACATTCATTGAAGACTTCTTCTACAGTCACTACACCCCACTTATTTTGCCACTTCTTGGATGACTTATTCAAAAAGTAACTAGGGTCGTTTCAAGAAAATCTTGTGCTGACTGCCCTTGCGAGAAGATTCACTGTGTTTCTGCTTTGACTGGATTTCGTTCCACTTCCAGTCCATTCAGGAATTGCGAGTAATGTTGTCGCCGTGTTATCTTATGCGAATAATGTACTCAACTAGCTCTGAACCCTACCATAGGTTGAACCTGGTCCCAAAAACTAATTTTAAAAGCCTCGGTGCACAACCCCAAGGACACTTTTCCATTCTTCTCTTGTTTCTCTCCAGGCGACATTGACCCTCACCCGGAGACCAAACTGCGTCCTGGTTCAGGCCAAATCAACGTCCTTTCAACAAGCCTTCCCTTGTCTTCTTCTCTGATTGGCAAACTCTCTGAAACCGAAATGAAACGATTGATAACGAAGAAGGTAACTGGGATACGTAGTTGTAGGACTCCTTTCCTTCCTGTATTTGTCCACTTTTTGTGTTTCTCAGAACTGAATTATTTAAAAGGCTTTTATATTTTTAAGCTAGACCCTACAAGGGTGTGAATGGCATGGAAATAGCACTCATCTGTACTCTCGTTGATAGCCAACCAAAATGCCTTAACTCATGCTCGCTAGCTGTAAACCCCTTGCCTGACTTATCAAGATCCTGAGCACACTTAGATTCTGCGCGAAGTGCAATTTTATTGTCACCGTTAGCGACCGTAAAATAGATTATTAGGTGTCATGAATAAAACGGCGCGGCTGTGGCACTTAATTTGTGCATCAGCATTTTGGCGTGTAGAAGTGTCACCCATTCACACCAAATACTCTTTTCCTTTTTTCACCACGATTGTACGTCACTCTTTCTGATTTCTGTTGATCATTTATATTTTCGTTTCCGCCTTTGTCTCCTGCACGTGCTTGTGGATTCGCATCCGCCGTTGTGTGTGTATGACACGCATCTCGCGTTGACAGGAGGAGGTTAGTTCTTCGTTTGCATACAATTCGAGATATTTTTCCCTACTTGTCTCATTATTTCCGTTCCATAAGCCACTACATTTGATGTTTTAGTTACTCATTTTATCGAATTTCAATGCTTAAAGCGTCTACGTTTTACTTGAATCCGAGTATGGTTTTACTTTATAAATTAAAAAAGCATCATCATGACCTCTGTTAACTTGAGCTTGTGTATTCCACGAGCATAGGTGTAAAATAAACTGCATTTCTGCCTCTTCTCTTACTTAATATTGTGCCGTCATTCCTTGTTCGAGGCCAAAGGCAAAACATATCTGTATTTTTATCAGCACATGGCTTTAACCAAAACATGGGCCACGTTTTAGTCGCCTTTTACAGTGATGACGAACAGCGAGTCTAACCAACCGAATGCTTGCGTCGTGGTCCTGGACATCCCTTCAAACCGCTTTTTAGTACATCCACTAACAGATGCTACTGAAGGCGCGATTTCATGACTGCTTTGAGTAGATGTGGCATAAGCGGACAGAGACATTCGCCCTCAACTTTGCTTCTAGCTCACAACATCTGACTGAGTAAATTAACACGACACCTGACTGTTTGGCCGGTGGTCGACCTGTTGGCAGCTTGGCCAACCACTGCAGTGGGTAAACGCGGGCCTAGCTTCCCCATTATTCAAGGCACGACATTGGTGGTTCTACTCCCGAGCTGCCGGAATCTGGTTGGCCAATTAGGAATGTGGCGTGCACTCAGCACACTGAGTCGAACATAAGCGCGACCTAATGTAGGATTCTGAAAACTTGAGTGTTGTCGCCTCTGAAACCCGGTACTTCAATACAACACATAATATAAGAGGGGAAATGGAGTGGTTAACGTGGTCTACCCGTGGACACCAGACGAACAAGTCTAGACTCAGTGCAACTCACTACCAGTACTCGGGGTTTCTGTAATTTCCAAAAGTGGCATTTGCTTCTGCAGTGAGTGTGAGGGAGAGAAGGCACAGGTACACTGCTGAGGTATTGAATTTGGTCTCATAATTGGTGGATCCTCTTGCTACAATCTGTGGCCTGCTTTAGAAGAATAGCCATTTGACAATTTCAACACCTAGAGGTGGAGTCTTCATGTTTGCCTTCGCTTTTCAAATTTTTTATACTAATAATTCCTAGTGTTAAGCCCTAATTATAGTGGTTTGTAGTTTCTTTTAGTCCATTTTGTATATTTTTTTTTCACCCAAATTGTATTCTTTGGGCTTGTGAGATTTCAGTTGTTAATTATTCACGAGTCTCTTCGTTATGGGTTGCGGGCAGTTTGCGTCTCTTGCTTGGTATGTTTTGCGTCGTTTTGTATTGCCAACCAACATTATAGGGAAGTCTTACCGCTGAGGAGGAGCAGGCTATGCTGGCTCAATACCACTACACTGGCGCTACGAAAACAATTCACCCTCTTCTCTCCTCTATGGTTAACTACGCCCAACCGGTCAAGTTCCAGGGGTTTGATGTCGCCGAAGGTCAGTCTCAACTCGGCTTCTTTGCTATTTTTGTCACTATTCTCGATTACCCTGGGCGCTCACTCCGAGTTTAAATTCTTCTTTTTTTAGTCATTTTGTGAATAGATTTTTTGTGTGTTAACTATTGCTTAATGCAAGCGCCAGGCTTGTGGTTTAGGTGGTGTATTTGATTCACAAGCCCCTGGATTCAAATGCATGTTCACGGTTATACCCGTATCCTAGTTGCATTTATTACAAAGTCTTACCACTAGGTTAGGGGAACGTGCTTAGGATGAACCTGCTCCGTTCTATTCAAGTTGATTTTCTATGAGAAATATTCTTGTTGATAATTTTTATAGCGGCGGTTGTGCTTAGTTATATTATTAAAGGCATTTAATGAAAGTGTGAATTGATGCTTCACAAGTCCACTTACATGCATCGTCTTTTTCCCTCCCACTCTCCTCTGTCTCTGCCGCACGGTCACGGGGTCAAATTCTTGTTGTGTTGTCATGTGCATGTCCATGTGTGCATGTTGGTTGTGCGTCTGTAGATGAAAACGTCCACTACCACATGTCCTCATTTAGCGAAACAGTGGCCTTAGGTCTGATGAAAAACGAGGCCATTGAGTTCGTAAAGTATCCTTTTTCCCGCAGTTGCGATTGACGTTTTCATTGTATATGTTTTAACTGAATGATTAATGTGTTCCTTTTACTCTTTTCCCCATTTGCGCATGTTGTTTGAGCAAAACGCTTGTCTTTCCAAATGTCGTCTTTCAACGAGAACACCGCTCTCGGTCTCATCAAACGAAGTTGCACGGAATTCGTTTGGTATCGTTTTCTTTTTGTACAATGCATGCCTTTTGTTATTTTGGTAGCGCAATGTCCATTTAACAAGTATGCATGCTTTGTTGATCAATTGGGTTGTTATGAATGCAAGAATTCCATAGTTTTGATAATTGCCTTGATTTCTCTTGATTGGTTTTCGATACTCATATCGGGCGTCTTACAGACAATGCAGTATTTCGTCAATTGTCTGGTTACCGATTCGTAGGCCTCATGTGTTTAACTCAGCACAGCAGACGCACTTACACTCAACCTCAACAGCAAAGTAGCACGAAACCTTTGGGGTTTCGGTTATGCGATTCTTCGACATGTTTCGGGGCTAGACCGCATTTTAAGCATTAGTGGTCCCCACTAACTGAACGGAAGTAGAACTTGGTTGTCACAATTTTAATCCGCCTTCTATGGACTGCGCAGCTTTAGTGACTGCCGATGCGCACCTCCTGCTTTAAGCTGCTCGCGGAAATGCAGTGTTTATTTATTTGAGCTCAGTAGCATCAATTGTGTTGGCCAAAGCCTGTGGTTTATCCTGTGGATGAACGAGGGCGATTAATCCTGCATATTAGGACAAAGGCAAAGCAGTGTATCAGACATCAGATTTCACGCTGGTTAATGCTCCTAGTATAGATCACTTTTCAATGAGACATGCTTCGACTCATTTGTCTTTTCATGTGTCCCATCCCAGGGTAAATGTCCATCTTATTTCGTTCTTACTCTTAATGAATCATTTGCATTGTGCCACAGATTCGGTCGAACTCAGTGTTTCGTTTCCTTAGCTGATCTCTTTTCCTCTTCACCTCTTGAAACAGCTATAACAAACGACAAATGAGTCGCATTTACCCTCGTGGAAACCGTGTTGAATCGAGCAACTATATGCCTCAGGTTAGATGAGATTTGCAATCTTTCCTTTTAAGCGAACTGAGATTATTGCTTGACTGAACGGAAATTTTTACTGCTATTTCCAATCACTTTCAGATTTTCTGGAACGCTGGGTGTCAGATGGTGGCCCTCAACTTCCAAACGCCCGACCTTGCTATGCAGTTGAACCAGGGGAAGTTTGAGTACAACGGCAATTGCGGGTAAAAAGGGCTCTTCCTCGTTTATCTTCACACATGCCACAAATGGTTTAGGGTCTTTTGTTTTATGTTCTTCTGCTTTAAGAGGCAGTAGCTGACCTGTATGTTTTTCTAGCTGACAGTAATTTTTTTCTGTTTTCCTCGTAAATATCTCATCCAAATTAGGGAATCCCATTTAACGCCAACGGTTTCTGTGCACCCCCAGGTTAATTTTCTCGAACTTTGTTGAAAATCTTCCTATCAAGTGTATTGAACCACTTTGTAATGCAAATTCATTTGAATTGCAAAAAAATGTCCTGAAGTTGTGTTTCTTTCCACCGCTGAAGCGTAAAAGTAATTTCGCGAGCACTCTCAGCCATAGTGGAAACGCTAACAGATTTTGGCACGGTTTTTGGGGTGGTTAATTTAGCATTGAATTCTTTATGCTCGTCTGCGACAATCGCATCTTGTTCCCTTCTTGTCGTTGTCTACGTGCACTTTATCCCCTGATGCTTTCAAGAACAAATTCAAAATTTGCGTTGTGCAGCATTTCGGTAAGAGATTGTTAGTCGACTGCAAAACATTCCAGGTTGTTTTGGGGTTTGTTCTAGCCACCGAGAATAACGCAACGTGTTGTTTTGGCTCTGATTGTATGCTAGATAGCGGAAAAAAATGTTTTTGTCTCTCTCGCGCCCTCTTGTGGTAGAATGTGAGAAGAATTCGTCCTTTTTTATGCGTTCTAGTTACCTACTGAAGCCGGAATTTATGAGGCGTCCAGAGCGTCAATTTGACCCGTTTTCTGAGTCCCCGATGGACGGTGTGATTGCGGCGACGTGCGAGGTGCGCATAATTTCTGGCCAGTTCCTCTCCGACCGCAAGGTTGGCACCTACGTTGAGGTGGACATGTACGGTCTTCCCACGGACACAATCCGCAAAGAATTTCGCACGCGCGTAGTGCCCAACAACGGTCTCAATCCGGTCTATGGCGAGGACGCTGTGTTCGTATTCCGCAAAGTACGTTATCCGCCTAATTTTATATAACGTGTTTTTTTAACAGTATTTGCGCCCCTTCACCTTATGGAGGCTGTTGGCTTACTGGAACCATTTATTCCAATTTTACGTCAATCATTGTATCAGTATCTTCACCACAAGTGTAAGATTAAATTCATTGTCCTGTGGGCCTTTTTCTAGTAGCCGCCCAGTCAACACGAAGAGTTAATTGGTAAGCGCGGCCATAAACTAGCATGCTTCCTCGTCAGCTGCCCCGCAGTTTTACACTCACGGTCTTGGTGAGATGTCCACATAACCCACGAATCTCCCAAACGCACAAATTTTGGAATTCCAAAAGCCACCTTTGTCACTCATATGTGTGGTTTCGTAGTTAAACTAAGACTCGAATCTTTTATTTTGCAAGGCTGATGTTCTTATCTTTCCGAAAACATGTGGTAGTCTGCGAATCAAGCCTAGATCATGGTTGTTGCTTGCTTCTGATTACTCTGGCGGCTACAGTGATGTCTTTAACGCATCTACTTTTTTCTGCAAGACTCCTCTGCAGGCCATCGAGGGCATTGTTCGGTTGCTGTTCTAGTTGCCTTGGAAAAAGTAGACTAGCTCTCCCAATGTCCGCGAACGCGCGTTCGTGTACGATAATCACAGAGGATTGGATCATTGAAGAAGTCGTTGCCGAAATAGAGCCTTCTCTAAGTATGGTCGCAGCAGTTTTTGTAAATATTTTCTCCGCGTTCTCTAAATGCCTATCCAATCGCAAACTCTTGTTAACCTAAATTATGATTGACCAGGCACGTATTTACTTACGTACACAAAATAGCCGGTGAGACCAATCGCGCCTGCGCAACTTGATTCACGATTTGAGGCTTTGTGATGATCAGGCTGACTTGTTGTTCTGACATATGACTTCTATAGCTTAGCCAAAAGACTCACCACAGATGCATCCACTCACCGTTTTGGATCCATTCTTTTCGGGAAATAATTTTGATTCCACTTCTTCAAGTCGAAGTAAAGTCGGCTGAGTTTGATCTACTGTCCTATTTGTTCACCAAAATGTCTGCTATAATAACACGGATTGAAATCTCGGTGTGGTGTGTAAAAGCCCTTGCAAAGGAGCTTGAATTCGCTGTTTTCGTCTTTCCACTGTAGATCATGCCATTAAGTAATTTCCGTTAAATGAGTCTGTAACGCTAGGTAGACTGGCTTGTGTGAATTGCATTTTTCGCGTTGCCTTTTTGTAGGTCGTACTTCCGGATCTCGCCGTTCTGCGGTTCGCGGTGTATGAGGATACGGGCAAGTTGATCGGCCAGCGCGTCCTCCCACTCGACGGCCTGCAGTCGGGCTACCGGCACATCTCGCTGCGAACCGAAGGCAACTTCCCCCTTTCTCTGCCCACCCTCTTCTGCCGTGTCTCCCTGACAACTTACGTTCCGGAGGGCCTCAATGATCTTGTTGATGCCCTCTCCGACCCAAGAGCGTTCTTGAGCAAGGAAGAACAACGCATGAAGCAGGTCGGCATTCTCTTGGAACCTGTAGCGCTTCTACTCTTGCATATGTTCACTATTCCAATATCAGTTACGAGTCACTTGAAGGTCATAATTATGATGCACAATTGTACCATGGTCTTTCGTCCTTTGCTTGGTAGATTTGGGGTAACTGTGAGAGGTTTACCAAGTTGTTGGTCTATTGTAGATATGATACGTTTTGAGTAAAACTACCTGGCGTTCTGTATTCAATTTAAATCAGCTTGCCAGTATGGGAATCGATTCCTCGGAGATAGATGATGTGCCAACGTCGTCAACAAAGCTCGCAGCAATGCTGAAGCAGCGCCCGATGGGCATGGGGAATTTGAGCAACGCGCCGTCGGCGAACAGTGCTGCTGGCCTTCTGCCCTCGGGAGTCGGCAGTGTCGCCGCCGCGTCCTCCGCTGGCCTCACCCTCCCCGGTGTTGGCGCCTCGGCGGACCACCAAAAATCGACCGGATCGACTGTCGTCTCTCCCAGTGCCAACCCTCTCACTTCCGGCGGCGTAGGTGTTAGTGGCGCCACTTCCGGACCTTCTGCCAACAGCGCCAAGAAGGAAGACAAAAAAGGTTATTGGAATGTCTCCGTGGCTCCAATTTGCTTTCTTTCTCTTTGGGTGACCAACGCCATGTAGATGCATCGATTCCCTGCAGAAAGCGGGTTATTGAGGTCTGGGTACACTGCTAGTTTGTTTGAAACCTTTGCTTTGTCAAGCCAATTTACCTCTCTAGCGAATTCTAAATTCTTACCATATCCTATTTACGAAGATCAGCGATACAGTTAGCGTGTTCTTCTTTATGGTAAATTTCATGCAGTCCACTCGTTTTTGACACCTATAATGATCCTAGAGCATCCTAGCCTTTTTTATTTATTGTTTTTATTCATTCGTCTGTTTTATCGTCCTAAAGCAGAAGACCCCAAGTTTCCGCCCATTTCCTTGTCAATGTTGCGGAGCGACAAGAACTACCGAAAGCTAGTTAAGAAGCAAGCTAAGGAGCTGGAGGCGCTTCAAAGGAGGCACGAGAAGGAGGCAGCTGCGATGCTTCGGGCCCACACTCTCCTCACCGACAAACTGAACTCTTCCCACGCCAAGGCCATCGCCTCCTCCACCTCCAGCCTCCGGAGTACTCCTCAGAAGTATGTCAAAGCCGGTGTTTCTTTACTTGGGGGTCGCTCATAGTAAACGTGGTGGTCCAAGTCCTTACGTATGAGTTGATTATCTGCGCTGCAGTTCACTTTCTATCTTAATATTTTCCTGATTAACATAATTAACGAACCCACTTCCTCAATGCCCTCCTCAGCTGCCTGATGAGAGGTTTTAACCGGATGCGGCTGGCGTCGCTGCCAACAAAGCTGTAAGTCATCGCACACCACACCACCTTATCGCGTGCACTGCTTTGTCGTTATTTCGCCTCCCTATCGTGTGCACGTGCAGACCACCTTTTTGTCTAGTTATATCAGCATAATTTAACATCCCGACCATTTCCTGAGTGATCAAGCCTCATCCAGTGGTTCTTCCGTCGCGCTTTCTGTGGCTTATTTCATCAAGACCTTTTTTTGGCCCTTCAACTCGAGATGCCGATGGTCGTGGTCACTGTGAGTAACCAACTTCACAGTGAAGTGATTACAATGTGTACTATTGACCCTAACGTAGACAAACACTCGACACTTTCTATTTTACAGCCTCCTTGCATCCCTTAGCCTTGCTGACACACTTGGGTTGCAGATTTTTCGTCACCATGTTTGATATTTTAGAATGAATGGAATCAACACTCCAATGAAGGAAGCCCATATTGCTCAAATGAATGACCTGGTGCGTCAACAGACGGATGAATGGAGCAAGCTCAAATACACCCAGATGAACGAGATTCATGGATTAGTCCTTACGTTTATGGATGCCCGGAAGGATCTTCTTTTGAAGGTACATGTGCCCTGCATTCCCTCCCGTTTAGTTGGTTTCATGCTTGTCCTTCTGTGTAAATGGGGCCATTATTTGTAGGTCTGGTCAAGGTTAGTCCAGATTCTCAAAAGGGTTAATTTAGGTCATAAATTCATATTGTAACGAGGCTGATAAACGCGTTCGTCAGTACGTTTCGGTTATAGTTTAGAGTCGATCCTAGCGGATTAAAGAGTGATCCTCCGAAAGAATATCCACGTAGTCGTTTTTGTTTCTAAATTTCAAAGTTCATTTTTCGTTGAGTCAAAAGCTTCCCATAGGTTCCATTGAGCCTTTTTGTACACTGTACTGACCGCAGACACACGTTTTCGTGGTTGGAGTAGTGAGCGCGCTTTCTCAGTGACCACTTTTCGATCCTTGTGGTAAAGATTCCTAAAATGTTTGAATTTGCATCAAACTAATTGCAAAGTTTGAATGCAAGGCCAATCGGATAGTTGAAATTGCGATGCAGGTGTTTTTCCTCAGGAGTTTCTTTACCTCTTCCTTGTAGCTCCAGTGTTCTCCGTCCCCCGTAAAAAAAATTGTGGAATTAGTCAGTGCATGTTTCGTCCTACCCATAATATTCATTTTACGTCCTGGCTATTGTTCCAGGATTGTGTTGAGATCATGTATTTAGACAATCGTCGTGATCTATGTGCACCTATCTTATTGGAATAACGTCTGCTTCCCTACAGCTTGGAGACGGATCACACATTAGACAGAAGTCGTAATGGAATTTAAAAGGTCATGCATAGAACTATTAGAGTTTGACGTCTGCCTGACATGAACATCCAGCTAGCATTATTATCAGCTCTTCTATCGAGCTGCCATCACCTGTTTGCTTTGTCTTCTAGATTCTTCGAGATGCTCATGACGAGCAAAAGCGTCTACTGAAACAGATCCAGGAACGTGAGAACAAGGACATGAAGGCGCAACAGATTAAGATCTCCCTCGATTCCAATCGCAACGTGATGAATGATCCAAGACTAAAGAACAAAGCAGAGCGTGACCGTCGGATCCGGGAGCTGAAGGACTACAACACCAAGCGCTTCATCGATCAACGGAAGGCGCAGGCGCAGCGCAACGACCGTCAGGTGCAGGATCTTCTGCGGAGGCACGAGGAGGAGGAACACGGCGTCATTGCGGGCGTAAATCTGGTCAGTCTCGTGTCATCGCTTCTGTTCCTCCTCTTCTTAAATCAGGAGCAATTAAAAAATGAACAAATACTTTGGGTTTGTTTTCAGCGGAAATTATCTTCTGGGGACGATGCCTTGAGCGGGTGTTTTTATTGCCTTAGCCATTTTACTTTTGGTGGTTTTAGTACGTCCATGTAAACCTTCGATGATACTACTAACATTTATCTTTCTTTCTGGCTCTCGTACACTCAGTTAAATTACTGCAAACTGCCTTTTCTATTCTGTCGATTTTCACTGAAAACTGCACCGGCACCATTGTAAGATAAACCACCCTACTTTTGATTTTCAGTACTAACTCGTTTCCCGATTTCCCTTCTTCATTTTAGGAACGTGATGACCTCATCCGAAGTTACCGGGAGGAGTTGTTGGCCACCAAACGCACCACAATGATTTGAGAGCTACGTGGACGTCATTTCAGGTTCACAAATTTGCACTCCTCGCCATTATTCGTTAAAGGAACCCTTACCACCACGCTCTCGTCCCCTTTCCAGGGTATTCCATCTGTGATCCTCTCTCTCTCTCTCTCGTTCGCGTTTATTTAATTGACAGAACCTCCACAATTTGCCTCTTGGTATCCCCTCCACTAGCGTAACTCGCGATATCCTGTGCTTGAACTTTTGTATACCCTGTACCCAGCAACGATCTCTTTTGTAATCGAATCGCCGCCCCGCCCTTCTCTTCCGTGTGTGTGCGCGCGTGCTCGCCTGCTTGCAGACACACACACACATGCACGTATTTTGGGGGTTTTACCTGCCTGGGTTATCTGCAATCACTGTTGTATAGACAGAAGCGATGAGCTTCAACTCAGGATTTGTAGAAACACATCTGTCCCAGGGGCAATTGTGGGTTGGTCAGTTGACTTCTCTCTGTCCAAAATGTTATTTTTTTGTATTTTTCGCCTGCTCTGTTTGTCCGTAATCAGATGCACATAGGATCATTGGTTTTCGTTTATGTTATACCTCACGCAGCCAGATTCTCCTCACCAAGCTCCGCCTGATTCCCGCCAAATTGTCGTTGTCTCTTTGCGGGCGCACTTGCTTCACTCGCGCCAGTCGTTATGTCTTGCTGAATCCACTTCTTTTTTACTCACATGTCTGACTCAACGCAAGGCAAGCCAATGTGGGTCTGTTCTGCCGTCCACATGCATTCTCTCATTAATGTAAATAAACTAATTCCAGCCCGTTTAGTGTTTCCGTTTTTTGTATCCTAAAGAAGGTTGATTCTGCGACAATTCTGGTTCAGCAGTTACCGGCAAACACCATTCTAGTGTCGCATTTCTTCTGAACTGCCACCTCTGTGCGGCTGGTAGCTAATCCAGTCATTTGGCGTCTCGTAGACAAGTTGATTAGACAATCTAACATTAAACCTGGGCGGGACGGTTATAGTTAAAAGCAGACCTGTATTCACATCGAGATGTATTCTTGTATGCGTAGGTTTGGTTGCTTGGCGGTCGTCTCTCATATCGCTAGCCCCGCAATCTCATTATTCTTGCATCATTGAGTCGCGCTAAGTTTGAGCGTCTCTCTGATGACGCTGAATGCTCAAAGCAATCCATTCATCTTATCTACTTTAGCCGACTATTGTTTCCCAAGTTTGGCATTTCGTTGTTGTTATTTTAATTTCACATTTTCCCCTATTTCCTTGGGTCACACAAGTCGGGGCCTAGAGAATTAACTCACTGTGAACTCGGTTAAACATTCGTCTGCAGGTGCGCGTAAGTAGGGCAGCGTCCAGGATTGGTTGCACTCCACTAGGTTCTTTATGGCCAGGACACCATGTCCAAGCATTTGTCCTGTAACCGACCTCATTCAGCATTGTTGTCGCTAGCTACTAGGGTTGTCTTCACCTTGCATAAGTTTTGGCATACTAAGTGAACTTTACCATGTGTTGAAGTCGTGATTTCAAATAACTCAACTATTATATTTTACGATGTTGGTATGCAGTCTTAAATACCTCCACACGTTCATCTCAGTACTTTATTTACTCTTTATATTAGTTTAGACAGCCAAACTACAGTCCAGTTGGGTTTTAAATAGCAACTACTCCTGCACGGTCACTAGCTCCCTAGAACTGATATTTCATTTTTATCCGATGATGTCGGTAGATGTGTTCAATTGTCTTGCTGAGACTTCGATCAATGGGATCGTATTGCGAATTGGACCAGACGTTGAGTTGAGCCCCAGTGGATGATCTTACTTGCTAGAACCTTGTGTCGTTTGATGAGGGGGATCTTCAAAGCTTTCATGTCTTTTTATCAATATTGATTAATCTGATTTGAATCAACGACGATTTGAAAGTGCAGCTAAATCGCTATGCTAGAATTTTGCCCTGAATTCTGCAATTATTTAAAGTTGACTTTAATTTCAGAATTAAAATAGTTTAAGGTAGATGTCGGCACGGCAACTTACTGAACCAACCTGGCCACAATTGCTTTGTTCATGACTTGTTGCTAAAGGCCTGCAACCGAATTAACCTAGAGCCACTATTGCGATTAGTACATCGTCAATAATAATCAGAATTTACTTTCTGACAGTTGGAGCGTTTGAATAGATACTTCTCGCCACCCCTTCACCTTTGGTGTGACAGGTTGTCAATGCGTGAACCAATCACAAGAAGCGAACGGCATTAAGCGCGCGCGACCAGCCCACTAACCAATAAGGAATTAGTGTGCCTGACGAGTTATGAAGGGTGTTTGCACATCCCACATCTCAGGCCAAAGCGTTTCTACGTGCTTTAGTCACGTTAACTGTAGATTTCTTGCCCTATGGGTTAGGAATTATGTCCACTCCTCAATCCAAACTCGGCCAATCTCAGTGTGTAACAAGAGGATCCACCAATTATGAGACCAAATTCAATACCTCAGCAGTGTACCTGTGCCTTCTCTCCCTCACACTCACTGCAGAAGCAAATGCCACTTTTGGAAATTACAGAAACCCCGAGTACTGGTAGTGAGTTGCACTGAGTCTAGACTTGTTCGTCTGGTGTCCACGGGTAGACCACGTTAACCACTCCATTTCCCCTCTTATATTATGTGTTGTATTGAAGTACCGGGTTTCAGAGGCGACAACACTCAAGTTTTCAGAATCCTACATTAGGTCGCGCTTATGTTCGACTCAGTGTGTTGAGTGCACGCCACATTCCTAGTTGGCCAACCAGATTCCGGCAGCTCGGGAGTAGAACCACCAATGTCGTGCCTTGAATGGGGAAGCTAGGCCTGCACTTACCCACTGCAGTGGCCGGCCAAGTTGCCAACAGGTCGACCACCGGCCAAACAGTCAGGTGTCGTGTTAATTTACTCAGTCAGATGTTGTGAGCTAGAAGCAAAG